CTCATGAATATAAACATGAAAATCCTTAATAAAATGTTAGTAAATAGAATTTGCAGTAAATAAAAAGAATTGTACACCATGACCAAATATTGTTCCAACATTTGAAAGTCAGTCAATACAGCCCACCATATTAGTAATCTAAGAGGAAAAATTACATGATATATCAATCGATGCAAAAAAAAAAACATTTGACAAAATTCAAAGCCTACTTATGATGAACATTCTCAGAAAATAATAATAAGGAAGAACTAACTTCCTCACCTTGATCAAAACATCTACATAAAATCTACAACTAACATTATACTTAATGGTGAAAGGCCATTGTATGTTTTCCCCCTAAGATAAGTAACAAGGCAAATATTTTTGATCTCTTCACTCTTATTCAACATAGTGGTGGAAATTCTAGCCAGTGCAATAAAACAAGAAAAGGAAATAAAAGGCATACAGACCAGAAAAGAATAAATAAAACTACCAGTATTCTCAGATGACCATGATTGTAGGATAAGATAAACATACAAAAATCAATTATGTTTCTATATACTAGCAATGAACATCTGACTGCTGAATTTTAAGATACAATACCTTTAAAAATTATGCAAAAAAAAAAAAAAAGAAAGAAATGCTGGCCAGGCATGGTGACTCGTGCCTGTAATTCTAGCACTCTGGGAGGCTGAGGCGGGATAATTGCTTGAGCTCAGGAGTTCGAGACCAGCCTGAGCAAGAGTGAGACCCCGCCTCTACTAAAAATAGAAAAATTAGCTGGGTGGGCATGGTGGTATGCACCTGTAGTCCCAGGTACTTGGGAGGCTGAGGCAGGAGGATCACTTGAGCCCAGGGGTTTGAGGTTGCTGTGAAGTAAACTGATGCCATGGCACTCTAGTCCAGGCAATAGAGTGAGACTGTCTCAAAAAAAAAGAAAAAAAATACTTAGGTATAAATCAAACAAAACATGTATAGGACTTACATGCTGAAAACTATAAAATGCTGATGAAAGTAATTAAAGAAGATCTAAATAAATGGAAAGACATACTGTGTCCACGAGTTGGAAGACTCAGCATAGTAGAGATATCCATTTTCCCCACAATTGATATACAGATTTAACACAATTATTATCAAAATCTAAGCAATGTCTTTTGTAGAAATAAAGAAGACTATTCTAAAATTTACATGGTTAGGTAAAAGAATCAGAGTAGATAATACAATTTTTAAAATAAGCATAAAGTGAAAGAAATTAGTCTACCTGATTTCGAGACTCACTACCATATGGCTACAGTAACGAAGACCGTGTGATACTGGTGGGATAACAGACCACAGACCAATGGAGCAGAGAGGAGAACCCAGAAACAGACTTACATCAACATGCTTTGATTTGTGACAAAGGCACAAAAGCAATTCAATGGATTTCAGCAAATAACACTGAAGAAATTAGACATCTAAAGAGAAGAAGAAAAAAAAAAAAAGAACCTCAACCTAAATTTCACATCTTATACAAAAATTAACTCAAAATGAATCACAGATTTAGATATAAAATGTTAAACTATAAAACCTTTTTAAAAATAGGAGAAAATTTTCAGGATCAAGTTAGGCAAAGAGTTCTTAGGCTGGACATCAAAACTCCAATCCATAAAAGAAAACATTGATAAGTTGGACCGCATTAAAATTTAAAAAGTTTTTGTCTGTGAAAGACCCTGTTAACAGGATGACAAGACAAGCTACACACTAGGAGAAAATATTGCAAACCTTGTATCTAACAAAGGACTAGTATCTAGAAAAATAATTTTATATTTAAAAATCAATTATTAAATATTTAAAATTAACCATTTAATTATTTAAAATACTCCTATATATGTGTATATCAGAACTTCTCAAAGCCATTATGCTAAGTGACAGAAGCCAGACTCAAAAAGGTTGCCTACTATTAATATACAATTCCACATACATGACTTTCTAGAAAAGGAAAAACTCTAAGTAAGTGGAGAAAGTAGATCAGGGTTGCTGGGAGTGAGATTGACTAAAAAGGGGCATGAGGGAATTTTTTTTGGGGGGGAGGAGAGATGTTGGAACTGTTTTATGTATCTATACGGTAGGGATGGTTACATGGTTGCATGCATTTGCCAAAATTCACAGGACTGTACACCTAAAAAGAGTATATTTTACTAGATATCAATTTTACCTCAATAAGCCTAACCCAAGAAAAACTTCTCAGAACTTAATAATAAAATAATAAACAATTCAATTAGAAAATAGGCGAAAGACATGAAAAGACATTTCACCAAGGAGGGTATACGGATGGCAAATAAAACAATGTTCAGCATCATTAGCATCAGGAACATGCAAATAAAATCCACAGTGTAATTAATTACACACCTAGCTGAGTGGCCAAATGCGGATAAGGATGTAGAGAAACTGCATCACTACTGTATTGCCAGCAGAAATGTGAAATGAGACAGTCACTCTGGAAATCAGTTTGACAATTTCCGCTTTAAAAAACTAAACATACAGCTACCATATCGTCCCATAGTCAGTCACGGGCCTGGCCATTTACCCCAGAAAAACTGAAACTTTTGTTTACACAAAAATCCATACATGAATGTTTATGGCAGCTTTGTCCATGAAAATCCAAAACTGGAAACAAGCTGGCTGTCCTTCAGTGGGTGAAGGATCAAACAGACTGTGGAAAATATGAACCGTAGAAAACTGCTTAGCAATAAACAGGAACCAGCTATTGACACACATAGCAACCTGGGTGCATCTCCAGAGAATGGGGGCGGGGGATAAAAAAAAGTCAACCCCAAAAGGTTACATTCTGTATGATTATATTTATATAACATCTTTGGGATGACACAACGTTACAAATGGAGAACAATTTCATGACTGCCAAAGGTCAAAGGCTAGTGGGGGCAGGAAGCAGTGGGTGTAGCTATAAAAGGGCAACATGAAGGGTCACTGGTGTTGGAATGTTTGTAACTTGACTGTGTCAGTGTCAATGTCCTGGGTTTGATATTCTATAATTTCACAAGATGTCACCGTTGGGGAAGCTAGGTAAAGGGCATATGGGGTCTTTCTGCTGTATTTTTTTTTTTTAAGACAGAAAGAAGTATGAAGTTTATTTTACATTTGTGAGAGAGAGAAGGTAATTGGCACAGCGCTGCAAGTAGGGAGGGAAAGTGCTGGCAGCTGAGGAAAAGCTGCTTGGAGTTTTTTTTGTTTGTTTGTTTGTTTGTGGGTTTTTTTATGCTTTTTTTTTATTTCGGCATATTATGGGGGTACAGATTTTAAGGTTTCAATAAATGCCCTTTCTCCCCTCCCCCCACAAGTCTGAGTCTTCAGCATGACTATCCCAGATGGTGCACATCTCACTCATTATGTATGTCTATACCCGCCCCCTCCCCCCTCCCACCTGCCCAATACCCTGTTACTGTAGTACCTATGGTTTTATATCAGGATTCTCACATCTGTTCCACTGGTCAATATTTCTATTTTTGTGCCAATACCAGATTGTTTTAATTACTACAGCTTTGTAGTATAGTTTGATATCTGGCATATTAATACCTCCCATTTTGTTTTTGTTGCCTAGAATTGCTCTTGATATTCGGGGTCTTCTTTGGTTCCATACAAAGCGTAAAATTATTTTTTCTATATCTGTGAAGAATGCTGATGGGATTTTAATAGGTATTGCATTGAATCTGTAGATCAGTTTGGGTAGTATAGACATTTTAATGATGTTGAGTCTGCCGATCCACGAGCATGGAATGGATTTCCATCTGTTTACATCCTCTGCTATTTCCTTCCTCAGTGTTTCATAGTTCTCCCTGTAGAGGTCTTTTACCTCCTTGGTTAAGTATATTCCTAGGTACTTTAATTTCTTTGTTGCTATTGTGAAGGGAATTGAGTCTTTAATTTGGTTCTCAATTTGATTGTTGTTGGCGTATATGAATGCCTCTGATTTCTGTGTATTGATTTTGTATCCTGAGACTTTACTAAATTCATTTATCAGTTCCAGGAGTTTCTTGGTTGAATCTTTGGGGTTTTCTAAAAATTTTTAGGTATGTCCCTTCTATGCCTATTTTCTTAAGTGTTCGTATCATGAAAGGTGTTGAATTTTGTCAAAAGCTTTTTCTGCATCTATTGAAAGAATCACGTGGTCTTTGTTTTTGCTTCTGTTTATGTGGTGAATTGCATTTATAGATTTACGTATGTTGAACCATCCCTGCATCCCTGGGATGAAGCCCACTTGGTCGTGATGGATTATTTTTTTGATAAGCATCTGGATTCGGTCAGCTAAGATTTTGTTGAAAATGTTTGCATCTATATTCATTAGGGATATTGGTCTGTAGTTTTCTTTTTTGTTGCATCCTTTCCTGTTTTTGGTATCAGAGTAATATTCGCTTCATAAAAGGTGTCGGGGAGGTTTCCGTTCTTCTCGATGTTGTGGAATAGTTTCTGCAAGATAGGTACTAGTTCTTCTTTGTAAGTGTGGTAAAATTTGAGTGTGAAGCCATCTGGACCGGGACTTTTCTTTTTAGGGAGATTTTTAATTGCTGTTTCTATTTCAGCTGTTGAGATTGGTCTGTTCAGGGAATCTATTTCTTCCTGATTGATCTGCTGTATTTCTTACAAGTGAATGTGAATCCTACAACTTTCTTAGAATAAAAATTTTAACTAAGAAGTAATAACAACATACTTGTTTATAGCAGTGCTAGTATTCAGGGGGGAAACTGAAAACAGCCTAAATGTTCATCAGTAGGGGCGTGGTTGACTATAACGTCAGCTCCATAAAATAGAATGTCTGTAGAGGAAAAAAAAAAACCCTGACCTGGAAAGCTACCTTGCAAAACTCTTCACACGGCATTTATATTGAAATGCGCACACGCGAACGGTGTGGTTTCGTGTAAGTGCCTGCGCCACGTGTTCTCAGTGGTGGTGACACTGCCCCCAAGGTCAAAAATTGACCCTCGAGGGCCTAAAAAGTCTTAACCCTTCTTGTGTCTGAAACACAGCTGTACATAGAGCACATCGGCAGACAGACAGCTCGTCCGTAGTATTAAAACACTTCGCGGAGGGGAGTTAGGGGGGAAGCCGTCTGAGAAAGTTCCTTGGGAGAGCAGTGGCGAAGCACGCGAAGACCGCGGCCGGCGTGGACAGAGGCTGCGGGCCCAGCGCTGTCCCGGCCTGGGAGGACGCTCGGCAGGTCCCTCGCTTCTGCCCGCTAGCCGCCAGGAGCACCACCCCAGCTGTGACAGGTGTGTCTGCAGGCACTGCCAAGTACCCCTTGGGGGCAAGCTGCCTGGTGGAGAGCCTAGGCGGGCGGCGGGGATCCTGCGGCACACCCTGGCAGGGGCGAGCTGGGCCCCGGAGCCGCAGATGCTCGGCACTGTCGTTTTTGAGAGGGAGGATGCATTCGGGGCTTACTGTGTCGTTAAAAATTAATTTTTCAGAAACGGTTCTCGCTGGAAAATGCAGTCCTGGAGGGAGAAAGAGGCCTGGCCAGGCCCCGGGGCTCGGGGCTCTGATCGCCGCGCTGCCCCTGCTTCCCAGGGACCTGCAGCGAGCCCCCACTGCGGGCCTGCGTCTCCCCCTCCCGCACACGCACCCCCTCACTGGCACCCTCCGCACCTCTGTGCTCAGGCAGGGACCCCGGCTGCCTCTCCTTGTCCCAGCCTTCAGGAGCCCGACCTCACGCCCCGCCTGCGCGTGTCTCGGGCGTCCCTGCGCACGCAGCGTGCACGGCCGTCCCTGCACACGCAGCGCGCTCGGCCACGGCAGCGCGCACGGCCACGGCAGCGCGCTCGGCCACGGCAGCGCGCACGGCCACGGCTGTCTCCGGAGCGCGCGCCACGCGTGCTGCCTGCACCGCCCTCCGTCTGCCCGGCTCTCAGCGGGGCCCTCTGCCCCCTGAACGGCTCCGGCGAGCGCCCTCCACCAGCCAAAGATCAGAGCCCGGGGAGTAGGGGCAGAATTTTGGTCTCCTGCTTCCGCTCTGCGGGGGCCCTTCCTGAGGCCACAGCTCTTGCAGGGGTCCAGAAACTGCTCCTTCCTCTGGCCCCTCACGCCTCACAGGACCTGGCCCGGCTCCGGTCCCAACTGACACAGGCACCGCACAGCGTGAGCAAGCGCGAACGCAAGGGCTGTGCATTGTTTTGTTTTGAACGCAAGGGCTGTGCATTGTTTTGTTTTGTTTTCAACCTCAGAAACCCCAGTGGCCAGCACCCATGGGACCCGGAACACGGGCAGAGCTCTGCGAATAACGGATGGATGAACCGATGGAGACGGAAGGATAAACATACGCACGGAGGGAGGGACAGGAAGGCGGGCAGGTGGGTGAATGTGTGGGCGGGCGGAGAGATGGCCGTACGGACACACAGACCTGCTTTCACAGACGTTACTAACGGCTGACACCCCACGAGTGCACACTGCTTGTCAGGAACAACGCCCAGCTCTTCATGTACATTCACTGTAACGGAGAAAACAAACTTCCCTTCGACTCACGCTCAGTACAACACTCAACGGCGCAGAGTATTTCACCTCTGGTCTTCAAAATGTACGAGGGTTTTCCCCGCCGGCAAGCAATTCTCCAACAGACACTGACAGGGTGTCCCACAATTTAACTCGGTTCTGACACTGTCTACCTAGAAGTAGTGTCAGGTCCCACAGGACTGCCCCCCACCCCGACCTCGGACGCCAGTGGAGAGTAGCAGGTTGTCACCTACCCTCTGTCACCTAAACAACTGACAATAAATCGGCGTTCCCAGAGCCCCCTCCCAGGGTTCAATTAATTCACTAGGACAGCTCGCGGAACCCCGGGAAACACTTTACTTGTGTTAACCCATGTATTTTGAAGGACGTTACAGAGGACACGGATGAACAGCCAGTGAGGACGCGCACAGGCGAGGTATGGGGACCTTCCGTGCCCCTCCGGCAGGCCGCCCTCCCAGCGCCTCCCCGTGTGCAGCAGTCCAGAAGCTCGTCCTTTTGGGGTTTTTATGGGAGCTTCATTACACAGACAGGATCGATTAAATCACTGGCCATTGGTAATCGGCCTTCAGCCCCCTCCCTCTTCTGGAGGCCGGGCGTGGGGCTGAAACTCCTAACCTCCAGTCACAGCGTGGCTGGTTCTCCGGCAACCACCCCCCATCTTGAAGCTGACCAGGAGCCCACCGAGAGTTGCCTCCTTAGAACAAAAGATGCTCCAGTCGCCCAGGAAATCCCAAGGGATTTGAGAGCTCTGTGTCAGGAACTGGGGCTAAAGACCAAATATCAGAACCAAAGATCCTCCGAGCACCCGTTTGGGGGTCAGGCCCGCATGGCTTACCTCCCAGCTCTGCCAGTCCTGGCTGTGTGACCTCTGACGGGTAAACTGACCTCTCTGAACTGCAGTGCGCTTGGGCCTGGGTCCCAGGGCGGTTGGAGAGTAAATGGAATAATGCACTCGAAACTGTAAGCTAAAGGTCTGGCAAACTTCAGTCCAAATAAAACAATAGATTTTCATTCTTTCATAGTCTAAAAAGTCCTTTTACATACATTTCAGGGTGGAGCAAGCAGGCAGACTCAAGAGCAAGCTGCCAGCAATGCAGTCAAGCTCCAGCTCTGTGTTGTTGCAGAGAAAGTTCTGGAACCCTTTAAAGCCTCCTTTTCCACATCTTTCAGATAGGGTTAACGGTAGCCCCTACCTCCTAGGGACGTGTGAGGTTTAATAGGATGGCACGCCCGCGGGGTCTGTCCCGGTCCCTGTCACGGAACAAGCACTCGGTAACTTCCTAACCGTTTCCATCTTCCCCACTTGTTTACTTATAGTCAGGGCTAATGCCATTGCCCCCATTTTACGGATGATGGAAGTGAAGCTCTGGGAGGTGAAGTACCTTGACCGAGGTCACACACCAGGGAATGGTAGGGCAGGGACTTCTGCTCTGGGCTCCCAGTCCCGAGTTAGTGCCCCTCCCATTACAGGCCCTACGGTTTTTCTTCAGCATGAACAACCTGCACCCCTGGTCGCGCTGCCCGAGCAGGTGTGGCAGCAGTCCAGCCCACGGGCTTAGAACTGATCTGGATTCCAAAACTCTCTTCCTAGCTGCGTGACCTCGGCCAGCGCACTCAGCTTTCTTCAGCTTCAGCTTCTTACCTCCTAACTCGATGTGGATTAGCCCTTCCTCCTCGGGTCAGTGGAGCAGGAACAAGGATGATGTTGCTAGCCAGGCGTGGTGGTCACGCCCTGTAATCCTAGCTCATTGAGGCCGAGGCGGCGGTGATTGCTTCAAGGTCAGGAGTTCAACAACCAGCCTGAGCAATGGAGCGAGACCCCGTCTCTACTATCTAAATAGAAGAAATTATTGGCCCATGATATATATAATACTCAACTCTCGCCGGGCCATTGGGGCGCATGCCTGTAGTTCCCCGCTACTCGTACC